TAAATTAATTATAAAAAAATAATTAATCCTTTATTAACCATTGACTAAAGATCCATATCAAACAAACTCTTTCTAAGTATCTAAATTGAGGAGTGCTACTGCTACCTGCATTTAATGAGTGTTATGATTAGTCCAATCTCGATTTTCATTTGTCACTCTTTTTTTAAATGCATTTAATGAGTGCCGCAATTGGTCCAACGCCAATTTTCCTTTCTCTCTTTCTTTTTAAATGCAATTAATGAGTTCTGTGATTGGTCCAACCCCAATTTTCCTTTCTCTCTCGCTTTTTTAAATAGACTTAGGCTAATGGAGCACAAGTGCTAACGAGCATTTTCCTTGCAAATTGCAATTAACGATTGCAGGAGTTTCGACTTTCGTGTTTGCCTCTGTACCATGTTTGGACTTTAGTGCAAAGAATCAAATTCTCCACCAAATCTCGTCTAGAATGTATTCTACCTAAGATTTTTTGTTTTTTATTCCTAAGAAAAGGCAAATGAAAAATATTATACTTAGATAATCTTACCATCTCATTTTCAAATCAAAGGTTTTAGTTTATGTACAAAAATAATAAAATTATAGTATTATTTAATATTTTAAATTTATAATTATAATATATTATTAAATAATTATTTTTTATTTATAAATTTATCCATAATATTATATAATATTATAATATTATTATTATTAGTGTTTAATTTATCACTAATTATTACTACATGAAATATTTGTCAACAACTAAGTCTAGCAAGTGGTCATCGCTTGCTTCCAAACAATAGTCATCTTATATATGAATTTTGAGTCAAGTGGATAAAAATTTAAGAACATGAGAGAATTATCTTATTTTATTTAATATATAATCAAATTAAAAAAAAAAAAAAAAGCAGGGATTTGTTGGTACCTTTAAGCTTGTGCCAAGTTCCTAATTCCCTCTATTAATAAGTATATTCCCTCGTCAATTTCACATTTTGGTAAGAGTACAAGAATTAAAGAAAATAATAAACTATTCATAATTTTAATGATAAATATAGTTAAAGTACTAATTTATCCTTTTAAAATTATTCTTTTACTTAAATTAAACTTTATATACTACTTTTATTGAAGGGTAAATATGAAAAATAGGTAATTAATGTTTCGTTGAAAATTAAAAATGATAATTAAAATAAAATATTAGTGTATATTAATTTTATCTTTTAAAAATGATTAAAATCTTAATTTACATTTAAAAATTAAAATTTTATTATATTAATATTTATATCTAAATTTAAAAATTTATTATATATGTTAATATATTAATATTTAATGAGATAAAATTTTTAAATATTTAATTAAATTTTAATAAAATAAAATAAAATAAAATAATTTTAATTATTTTTAATAATCAATATTAATATACATTTTTCTTTAAAATAAATTTTAAAAAAAATCCTCCTAAAACGACTAACGTGACAGAGAGAGTACGAAGCATTAAAGTGGTTGGATTTTCTACACGCTAGACCTATGGAAAACTAAAGCAGCAACCAGCACAACACATCTGTCCTTTGCTACTATCTTTCCATGGAAATACAGAGGATACATAATAAATATACAATAAAAAAAAAAGGTGGAGTTTTTCTCATACATAGATTAATAAATATTTAACCTTATCTCAAAATAAAATTATAAGATATGGTGTGTGAGAGCGGTCATGTGGTTTAATAGTTATTAATTTTTAATAAAAAAATTTTATATTAGATTTGAGGTGTGAAATTCGATTTTCATCACTAATGTTTAAAAAAATTATAAGATATCATGAGATTTTAGATGATTAAATACATTTTAATTCAAGTATGTTATAATATTTATTATTTTCAAATGGTATGAAATTGATTTGATGAGGACTTGCTTTATCCCTCAATCTAAATTTAAGTGCTTGGGACCCATAAATTAGAGGGTTAATTCACTTAATTGTCCCCTATAAAACTCCAAAAAAATAACGGCAAAGAGAAAACTCACTGAAAAATATTTTCAGATGTAATATTTTTTTACTATTTAAGTTTTTAAATTTAATTTTAAAATTACAATACATCCTAATAAATAAAAGAAATAAAAAAACTTAAATGGTAGGAAATCCTAGCAAATGAATCATGGATTTAGACCAGAAATCTTTAGCCAAGACTTTGCCCAAGTTAGAATGATGATATTATAAAGATAATATTTTTATCTCATATTTTTATATAATTTTTAAATATTATTAAATAAATAAATACATTTAATATTATGAATCTCACATAAGTTAAAAGAACTAGTCATTTTAATAATAAATTAAGTTGTATAAAAATATAAGATAAAAAAAAATTATACAAAAAGCATTTCCCAAGTTAAAAACAACTAAATAAGGAAGAATGCTCCAACCCAACCTCCGGTTTCCTACTGCCAAATAAAATTTTTGTTTTTTCCCTTGTAATTGCCCTAAACTCAAAACTTCCAAAATGAATAGGTACCGGCCAAATTTTACATGCGAACATTAAATAACAGAAGTCTTAGTCAAGTCTCTCATCTCATTGGCACCATCACCGTTGAATATATTTTTCAGTGATCCGACGGTTCAGAAAAGAGTTACCGGCTACACACGGTTAATAGTAGAAAATAAACAAGTTGGTCAACAGCTTCAGAATAAAAAAATAAATAGTTCCACGTGATTCCCACTTTTTTTATTTTATTTTATTTTAGTCAGCTTTCTTTCTCTTCGAACTGTTCAAAACTTAATATCGTGTCTCAATTTCTCAAGGATGTTATTACCCTTCAAGCGCGTTAGGACAGTATACTTTTCTCTCGTTGATTCCACGCACGAGTTTGAAAATGTAGCAATTGTGAAATATATTTGAACATGAATTTGTTTAACCCACATGTTAATATGGGTGTAGATTAATTATATGTAATTATAAAAATAATATTATATTTATAATATAATGTAGCATTATATAATTAATTTTTTATTTAATATTTTATTTATAATATTATATATTTATTTAATATTATATTATAATTATAAATTTATAATTTGATATAATATTATAATTATAATATTTTTATTAATTATATTTTTTATAATTAATTTATATAAAAAAATTAATTTCAATTTTATTAACTAAGTTAAGAATAATATCTACTTTTATATTTTAATAAAAAAATTTATTAGAAAATATTATAATATGTATCTGAATTTAAAAAATACAAATTAAATTTTTTTTTGAACATTTTCTTTAAAAAAGAAAAATTATAATAAAAAATTTTAGAACTATATTAATATTTAATTTCTAGTCAAAGGTGAAGAAAATAAATGCGAAATTCCTATTCTAGATTGTAACACATTCTAGAAGAAACCATTTAGATAGCTTCTACATTTTGAAAGCTTATTGTTGGTGTTAGAAAAAGACTTATAAGCAATTGGTTATGCTTGTATGTACACGCAATCAGCCTCTCTTTAGGCAACTTTAGCCGCCATCTTTATTAGGTTGCATGTTATATAATTTTAATTTAAAATTTAATTTTATAATTTTTTTAAAAAATTATTTAGATATTTTTAAGCTATGTTATAAGATTTTAACTTAAAAGTTATTATTTTTAATAAAAAAGTTTACCAATTAATTTAATTTTTTTGTTTTTTTGTTAAAAATAAAAAAATTTAAATTTAAATTACATAACTTAGATATAAAATAAGTTAAATTAATAGATGAAAAAATTATTTTTTATTATATAAGTTAAAATAAAAATTTAACACAATCCTTTATAATTGGTGAAATTCAATTTGTGAAAATTAAGATATTGGTTTTTTTTTTTGAATGGTTAAGATATTCGTATTAAAATTACATCAAATATGGATGAACATCAAATTCTATGATTAAAAAAAAAAAGAGAAAAAAAAAACCAAAGAAAGGAAACTGAATAAAACAGTCTAAAAACAACTCGGATTTTTTGAATTAAATTCCCATGCCTTTTTTAGCTTCTGTTTTACATTTTCCAAAAGATTTCTTGTCTTCATGAGGGAGTTAGGAAGAAAATAAATAAATAAAAGACTTCTAGTCCCGTCAACTCTTCAATTTCTCTGCGACAAATTCAAACCCTTTAATTACTCTATAGAGTCCCCATATTTCATCTCTTTCATTGATTGGGCCCCACCACTCCACATTTTTGAGACAACTCCCTAGGTTTGTTTATTCAACCATCTCCCCTCCTTGAAATCTTCAAACTAATCTTAGCCGTCCGATGAAAACTCCCCCGCTTTGACTCGAACTATTCTCCCACCCGGTCACCCGGTCATCTTGACCCCTTTATATCACCCCCGGCTGCTCAGTTCATTATCTTTCCCTTACTTTCTCTCCTCTCTTAACCTTTCTTCTCTGCAAACCATTCATGGCGGTGGATCTGATGAATTTTCCGAAAATGGAAGATCAGATTGCGATTCAAGAGGCTGCATCACAAGGTTTGAAGGGCATGGAGCACCTGATACACATACTCTCTCGCCAGTCCAATCATGCCGTCGATTGCTCCGACCTCGCTGACCACACCGTCTCCAAGTTTAGAAAAGTCATTTCCCTTCTAAACCGGACTGGCCACGCGCGCTTTAGACGCGGACCGGTTCAATCCTCTTCGGCTTCCGCCTCCTCGCCTTTTCTTTCTGGATTTCCCTCGTATCAGAAATTATCTTTAACTCCGGGTAGTGTACCTGCGGCACCGGTTCCGACGAAGGTGATGGTTCCTTCTCCGGCACCGACATCGGTTCCGAACTTCGTGCAATCGCAGCCGCAGAGTTTGACTCTTGACTTTTCTAAACCTAGTTTCTTTAGCTCAAATCCTAAGAGTTCGGACCTGGAGTTCAGTGTTTCTTCAAACTCGTCGTTCATGTCTTCGGCGATCACTGGAGATGGCAGTGTTTCGAACGGGAAGCTAGGATCCTCGATTTTCTTGTCTTCGGCACCAGCTGTTTCCGCTGGCAAACCACCGCTCTCAACAGCGCCGTACAAGAAGAGATGTCACGAGCACGATCGCTCCGAGAACGTCTCCGGCAAATTCTCTGGCTCCGCCAACGGAAAGTGCCACTGTTCAAAGCGAAGGTATGCGATGCTCTTTTCCCGCGGTTTAGCCGTAGACCGACGCGGAGTTGACTCAGTCAAAGAATCGGTGGATTTAGGTTTGAATCTTTCGAGTCAGTGCTGACTCGAACCAGTAGAACGAGTCAGACTCTAGACTCGGCCGAGTCAACTCATTTAGTTACGCATATTATATATGACTAATCACGCGTGAAAATGACAGTACCGGTTTTTTTTTTTTGAAAATTTTCTTTTTCAACTTCGATATTCGTAAAAGAATTGTCTTATTTGAAATTTTAATCATTGACCCGTCTTTTACGGTTTTGACTGTGGGCCCATGCCTGCTTTCACACTTTTGAACATGAACGCGGCTCACGATAGCATTCTGGCGCACGTTAAAAATAAAAATAACAGTTAAGTTTCTTGAATTTATATTATTATTGACGGTCTATTTTTATATTTTAATTTCTCAGAAAAAATCGAGTGAAAAAGGAGATTAGAGTACCGGCAATCAGTTCAAAGATTGCCGATATTCCGGCGGACGAGTATTCTTGGAGAAAATACGGTCAGAAGCCGATCAAGGGCTCACCATATCCACGGTAAATATAAATCATGGTAGTTTTTAACTGTTGATCGGGTCAAATCATGGGGGGAAGGATGTGTTTCCTGATGGGAATTACTCAAATGGGATATTTTTCAGGGGGTATTACAAGTGCAGCACCGTGAGAGGGTGTCCGGCGAGGAAGCACGTGGAACGGGCCCCAGATGATCCGAAGATGCTGATCGTGACATATGAAGGGGAGCACCGTCACACTCAACCCGCGGTGCAGGAGAACCTATCCTCTGGAATTGGGTTGGTTTTCGAGTCAACGTGAAGGGAATCGGAGAACGACGACGTAGACGGTAGACTTGTTTTGATGTAGTAGTAGTTGCAGGGGATTGGATTGTAAATTGGGTTTTTCTCTTTGTTTTTTTGAAAAAAAAAAAAAAAAGAAATGGAAAATTGGATGCCATTAGAGATTGTGCCAACTTCCAAACGGTGCTGAAAGGAAAAGGAAATTGAGTTACTATGAACTTAATATCGGATGATTGTTTGGTTTGGTTTTTTTTTTTTTTTAATTACACCATGAAAGTTAATTATTTCTCTTTATTTTATTTTATTTATATGAAATGAGATTTAAATTTATTATCTTTTATTTTCAAACTTAAGATTTTTCATTTAAAAAAAAAAAGAAGATGAACGTTAAATTATTTTTAAGTGTTAACAGTGTAATTCAATTTTAAAATCCTAAACTTTAAAACCTTCCGGTTAGTTGGTTGCCTTTCGGTTAGTTGGTTGGTGGTTGGGGTTTTGAGTCTCATTAATGTATGAATTTATTTTTCCTTAAAACGCTTAGATTAATTGATTGGTTTT